AATGTTGCATCGGAAATCTATATTAAAAGGAATATTATTCTCAAGTTCTTAGAGTATGTGGTTAGAGGACAGACGAACTCGAACTAGATCGCCTAAGCTTGAGGTTTTGACATATTGATTGAGATACTTTATGGGGTCTGTCATACCCTCATTCCACCTGTTGCATGCATATAGATAAAACCAATGTAACCTGATATTCCATATACGTTCAGGGTAAATAGACGCCTAGATATAATCTCTGTCATTTAAGGCGTATCAAAATTCCTTAACTTCCTGAGTAAAGCTCATTTTTAAATATCGTAAAACCTTCCAGTTGGGGCTACTGCACCCATAAAATACCCAATTATGATTGAAAAACTTTCTCCTTTTCTTTCATATTATTTATCAAGCTCCATTTAAATTTATTTATAGAAATTACATTTAGCAAGGATTTCAGGTTTAGCTTATAACTCGGGACACAATTGAATTGAAATTATACAGATGATTTTATTATAATAATATGTATATGCATGTATAGAGATAAGAGATATACGTATACATATATATAAATATATATCGTAAGCTGCTGCTATTAAGGCCAACTGATGGATGTAAATTCAAGAGTTTTTATATGCATGTATCGTATATGTATATAGTTTCTGTTTAGCAGACTTATCCAAATGCCTAATAAGTTTGTTTGCTTTTTAGCGATATCTCATAGGAATAATACAAATATGCGAGAGATGCCATCTCTATATTCTATATAGATGTGAACATTTACAACATTTACAACCCAAACAACTCGAAGAGCGAGAACGAAAACGAAAACGAAAACAAAAACAAAAACGAGAACGAGAACGAGAACCTTAAGTATTATGAATTAATATACATTTAAATACAGAAAATTTTATAAACAATTGTTTTCGATTCTTTTTAATCTCTATAAAATTAAAATTTGCACTTAATGTTATGTGAAAAGAGAAATGCATTTACATGTTGTCTTTTGCTTGATTTTTGTTTTTGGTTTTAAGTTTTCTTCTTTTTCTTTTTCTTTTTTTTTTGTTTTTGTTTTGTTTATAACGTGTTTTCAATCATCATTTGTGTTTCTTTTCGTTTCGATTTTTGTTTGTGCCAAGCAATTGATATTTAAATACAAATAGCACAAATAATAATTAAAGAAAAGTATATATGTAGGTTTCAATATATACATGTGCGTGTAAAGGTAAATGATATACAAATAGATAGGAATATTAAAATAATCGGCTGTATAGCCGGCAACAAAATACAAGGTTGAACAATTCTTTTGAGCATAATTATGAATACGATTCTTTCTCTAAAAGTTGAATTTATAGTGTATGTGTGTTGGATTGTTTGTTTGTTTGCGAGTTTGCGTGTGTGTGTGTGTGTGTACGTGTGTACGTGAGTGTGCGTTTTGGTCTCTCTGCTGGCGGCTGCCGTTTTGCACGGCTAGTGAACTCCTCAATCTAGTTTTGATCGCTGGCAGTGCGAAGCGAGTCAGCCCTGAAGCGTTGCGACTAGAGGGCGATCGGTCGGGCGGTTGGTCGGTCGGTCGGTCATTGGATGGTTTAGATGGTTCGTTGGCTCTGCTCCATGCACCGTTAGCGTGCTTACAGGAAATACGGCGTCGTGTTCTGTTTGGGTATAACGCGTTCCGAGTCGGGCACGGCCAGAAAGATTTTCGTTTGCCGCTGCTGCGCCGTATCGAAGCTGAGGATGGCTGCCACGTTGCCGCAGCGATAGCAATAGTTGGGCGCGGACCAAACGGTGACTAGCTTGCCCTCGAACATGTACTTGATGCCTTCATTGACCAGCTGGTGTGCCCGGCAGATCAAGTCCAGATTATTGATGGTCATGAAGTCTTTGGTCACATTATGGCCAAATAGCCAGCCGGCGCCTCGCGGACTCTGGCCCCTAAAATCAAACGTTAGCTCGGCCAGGACGGGATGTTTTGTTATCGCTGCAGTATATTTACCAGTATTCCATGTCCTCGGGATCGGACCACACCAGATCACAGAAGGCGCCTTTGTAGGGTATCTCGCCGTTGCGCTCAATTGTCCGTATTTGATCCAGCGTTATAATCTCCGGACTGAGCCCGCCATGCACGCACAGCACGCTCTCGTCAATGATCTATACATGTGTAAAGAGCAAGCGAAGATTAGCATCACTCCTCCTCCCACTCCCACCCCCTCTTTCCGTCACACTCTCTCTCTTTCTCTCTCGCTCTGTACGTACCGCAGCAATGGTGAGCAGGTCGAAGACCTTACAACAGTACTTCCAGCCATTCGCATTGCCATATTTGCTGAAGCATTCGTCGAAGAAGCCATACACCTTTGTTATCTGCCGCGTCTCGTGGTTGCCTCGCAGCAGCGTAATTCGACTTGGGTATCGGGCCTTGAGCGTCAGCAGGCGGGTGAAGGTCTCCAGGCTGTAGTATCCCCGATCGACAAAGTCACCCATGAATATGTAATTCGTGTCGGGCACTTGGCCGCCCGTTCGGAACAGCTGCTCCAGATCATAGAACTGAAATAAATCGATTGTAAGCAGCGCGTAATCTCATCTTAGCTGATTGATAAATTATGAGTGTGTTTTAGGGTGACCATTACCTGGCCGTGTATGTCGCCACAGACTGTGACGGGTGTGCTCACTGGCTGTATGTTCGTCTCCTCTAACAGTATGTCGCAGACAATATCACAGAGTTTCTTCAATTCGTTTTCCGGCAAGTACTTGCACTCTTTCACAATGTCTATCCATTTGTCGACATCACCCATTTTATTGCTCCTGTGTTTTGTGCAGCGCACCCAAAGCCTGTTGGTAAAGTTAGCGGAAAAACGCAACAAAATCCGCAAGCCAATAAATACCAAAACAATATGAGAAGCATGTTGAGTGGCAAAATACTATCGGTAAGCTATGTAAATTAGGCGCGTAATTCATGGCGCGAAAAAAAATTCACAATATTTGATGATCGTTTCTAAAAAAATACTATCGATATATTCAGCGAACAAGCTGTTAACATTTGCTCGAACTGCACTGTTAAGTGTTTCGTAATTAGAATTTGGCGCGAAAAGTTTTTATCATTTTCATTGACTTGAGGTTTTTATTACAAAAATATTTGCGAGCATGAATAATATTTTATAATGCTTGGACTAAAAGCGGAAGATTTTGATTTGCTTGGCATAATGCAATTAAAGCTGTGTCTTAAAAGAGTTGCCATGCCCTGTTTAGCCGTGTCCTTTTTTTTTTTTTTGGGTAATGTTTGTCTTATGGCTTTTAGCGCAAAATTAGTTGTAATTAGCTTTTGCTTAAAGCAAATCATAATTAGCATGCAGCAGTGGGACCGACAAAAAACCCGCCGCGGCCGCTGCTTGGCTTACTCCTTGATGCCGGGCTTTGTTTTTCAGCGTATAGAAATAATCACGCTTTTAAATTTTATTGCTGTGGCGCGAGCTGCTTGTTGAATTTAGCTCTCTCTCTGTGCATTGGTGTGTGTGTGTGTGGAGCGAGTGTGCCAGTGTGTATGTGTGTGTGTGTGCTTTGTGTCAGTGGGGCAGAAACATGCTGGCATCTTGTTGTCTAGGGAATGGCGGCTAAGCGAGCTGAGCGGGTTGAGCGGGCTTAGCGGGTCGCGGCATATCGGACCGGCAGCGTAAGCTTGGGTGTTTGGAGGGTCTCATTAGTGACGCGCGCGCGGTTTGTCGTTGGCTTGGGCTAAAGGCAAGTTATTTGTATTGTTTTGTATTATTTTCCCTTTTAGTTTATTTTAC